TTATATAAACTTTTTCATTACGCATTTTAGGGGGTCTGTGTATTTTTAAAAATAAAAATTCTAAAAGAAGTATAATAAAGCAGTGAATTTGGTACAATATAAAATTGATTATGCTAAGCACCAAGTGTTATCATATGTTGCACCACGAGGCAATCTACTGGTCATTCCCATTAATGGACAGTGGAGATATTTTGTACTGAGAAAAGTTCCATTTTCTCAGTGGTTCAGTGGCCTCTTAAACTTGTCTACTCATGTGTAGGAAAGCTACAGATCATAGAATAAGTATGAAAATAATACAGTAGGAACAGTAGGAATTTGAGAACAATAATCATATTAATAAGCCTCTTGTGGGATAAAATTTAAGGATGAATACGCAAAATGCCGACGTACGCTGTGGAAACTCCATGTCTCAACCAGCCTTCCAAAACTCATTTTGACTCTTCAAAAACTCTTGGAGAGTCAAGTCAACTCTCAAGGTCTCTGAGTTGTATGATGAACAAATTTGGGCAGTTTTTCATTTTTCAAAATAAAAATACAGTTATTGACATCAAAACATTGGGTGTGGTTGGTATTAGGTTGCAACCTTAAACAATCACAGTAAGGTGCCATCTCCAAACTGTGTCATGAGATGCAATTTTTGTGTTGAAATATATTAAGATGGTAAAATAATATCTTCTTTTATCTATATTATAAAAATTCAAACTCCGAATATGCTTCAAATTGAGCAGTATCTATAAATGCATGAAAATCTTGCAAATGGATGGTCCAGATAATGTGTTGCAAGATGTATTATTTTTAGGACTTGAAATCTCTTTTTTTAGTCAATCTTAACCTCAAAAAAAAAACAATAACTGTTTTTCTTCATATCTATTCATTTTGATGTCAGGATGATCAATTAGATGTTTTTCCAAACATCAGATCGACCTTTTTCGAAGGATTTTAGAGGTGCACTTTAATTCCACATTTCAAGGCATGAACCTTATATAACTTTTTCCAAATATATTTGTGGGTTTTGTGCTAATTTTTGTGGCTTTATTTAGAGTTTGGCTTGAAACTTCTTTCCCAAGATTGAAAGGTCATGTTTTTCCCAAAAAAATTGAAAATATGTTGCAAGTTGATTCTGTTATTGTTGTGACCGAGTTGGGGAGGAGTTCAAGTTTGCTAAAGTGGATCCCAAAATTTCAGATCACCCTAAATTTTGGGATTATTTGTTTCATACCAATGAAAAAATTTGCACCATAGATCGCAGGCTGTCCATTTGGTAAAGGTATTTAGGGCTAGGCCTTTAAGAACTCAAAATCATATATTACTTTTTTAAATTAGTAGGTTACCTACAAAATTTGGGTAAAAAAAAAACACCCAGGTTTAAAAGACAGCCAGGTTTAATTGTCTCATCAAATGACAAGCTATATTCCTGGCATTCAAAAGCACTGTTTTTTAAGGTGTGTATGAATGTTGTTTGTTTTGGGTTGTTCCAAGGAGATGAAGAGAATTGGTATTTTATTTTGGAAATGTATACAATGAGGTCATTTGCTTTTGATCCAATGAGGTCACAATCATCATTGATCGTTAGATTTGAAATCAAGTGGCTGAGGATGTGTCATTGTTTGGGCATATAGTCCAAAATAAAATTTTTTGAATGTTGTGACACAATTTCGTCTATTATATTTCACATCCAGTGGCTAACAGTGGCTAAGAGTGGCTAGTGACCTCCTTGTACCAAATATAAAATGATCTCATAGTGTATTCCTTTTTATATTTGGGATCAAATAAATGCTTAGTGTATTCCTTTTTATATTTGGGATCAAATAAATGCCCCTAACATGGTTTCTGAAGGAGTGATTTTGTGGAATCACGTCCTACACGCTCCTTACACAAATATTGTATGACAAACTGATCGGTGTTAGTTGTGGAATCCCCAGGTTGCTGAGATAATTAAGGAGGATTTGTGGCCAAACCCTTTGAAATATTTCAACAATGTAAGTTTGGATAAATTACATTTTTCTTTGATTGCTAAATTATTTTTTGAAATATCAGTTTAATTCTTTTGGATCTCCTTTCAAAAGTTTCTTTTATAATTATCAGTTGCATCATTTATTGGCCGGATTTAGCCCACCTGGAATTTCTAAGTGCCGTGATCTACTCTTCTGGTTCAGGAAGCAGAGGGAGATTTTGATGAAGATGACGATGATGATGAGAATGAAGACGATGAAGTAAGAACTCTTTTTACTCTCCGGATTTGGTTATTTGATAAATTCGAATTGAGTTGTTGCTCTCTCCTATGCTAAAGCTCTTACCTCTCTCTGTTTTTGTCTTGCTTTTGTTCCCATTTCGCCCTTCGACTTGAGTTTTGGACTTCCTTTTAGCCTTCCTCATCCCCTGCTTTCCCGTCTGCTCCTGTATTCTTGATCTGCTCTCTCTAGCCCCCATTTTGTCTCCGCTTATCTTCCATGTCTGTGATTCTCTCTCTACTTTCTCTCTCTTTCTTTCTTTTCTTCTGGCTTGCCATGTTTCTCACTCTATCCTGCTTCCTTGGCGTCTCATGCTTTCTTTTCTGCTGCTTATGTTCTTTTTATCGCCCTTGTCTTCTTTGTCCGAAACTGTCTTATCTGATTTCTGCTCACTTGTTTCCTCTTTCACTGATTGCTTACTGTTGGATGTGAGAGCTCTAAACGTAAGGGATGCGGGTTTCATCCTTTTAATTATTTGTTCAGTCATTGCTAGTAGTTTATAATTTGTATTTTTAACTTATTTATGTAATTGGTGGCCGTTTTTACTATTTGCAGGGAGAGTCCGAGGATAGCTCGGATGAGGAGGGTGATGAAGATGACAGCTAGGCTTTTCTCTCTCTCTCTCTCTCTCTGTCCATGGTTTTACTGTTTGTTCTTTGAGTTTTGGTATGGTGAGAGAATGAAGGTGTCTATTTGGTCAACTTATGATTTAGCTTCATTTTGGCTAAATGTTTCTTGACATGGGTCTCTGAGTTAATGGAGGAGACACTGTTTAAAAGCCGTTTTTCTCTCCTTTTTGGGCTTGATATGAAAGCTGAGAAACTATGTATTGGCCTTTGAAAAGGTTATTTATATTCTTTTTCCTGTCTGGAGTTCTCTATTGAAAAAATGTTGGCTTTGCTTGCTGTATTGGTCTTTCAAAGGCTATTCTTTTCTGTCTCCATCTCTTGTAGGAGAAAAGGTTGCTTTTTCCCAAAATGAATTTATTTTTTTCCCTCTCTCTCAACCTGGTGTTTTATTATGTTTTTGAGATCGTTAGTGGTTTAATGGACACATTCCACAACATGCAACTTAGGTATGGGGGAGGTAGATGCAACTTAAGTATGGGGGAGGTGCTATTTTTTCGATCTTATAAGTAATTCTTATTTAAAATAAAATATAATTTGTCCAGTCCATGATTGGTTATTGATTCTTAAGAGTAAATATAGGACTCTTAAAAAGACTAATCATGATCATTGCATTTCGATAAGTAAACCATTGATTATATATCTGAACATAGATCTTATACTATAAGAATGGCTTGTGTAAGAATGTGTGCAATATCACAATCAAGCTAGACCATTAGATGGGATATTGGGAAAGAAAATATTTTGAGAATATTTATTTGAAGCATGTTTTGTTGTACATTTTTAGCTGTACGATTTTATATCTGATGGCTAGATGTGAACGGCGAAAGATAATGGATGTCTTTGTATGCTCTCTCATCTAAACAGGCCTCTTGTAATACTCAATTTTGTGTTTTCGTACTTGTTGGGCCAACAACTTTTAGAAGGTATGTCTGGCCCCGTAACATTTATTGATGACGATTATGAAATATCTTCCGAGGGGGAGAAGAAAATACAAAATGTTACAGACAGGAGGAAAAAGGAAGAATTAACGAAGAGAAAAGAAAAAATGTTTAAGGAGAAAAAGAAAGAGTTAAAGGGAGAAAATTGAATACATGTAATATTTAAAGCTTAAAAAATAGTGTACATTTTGCAAATCAATTTTCATCACTATAATATTTGCATTATCATATTTGAAGCTCAAAAAATACTACAGATTTAACGGATATGTGAATAAATATTTTTATAAAAAAATGAGCCCTTTAAAAAAAGCACTCTTTCAAATAGTATCAATGGTTTCAATATTGAAAATCTTTGTGATCGTTTTAAAATATATTATCTTTAATGATAAAATTTAAAGCTTAAAAAATAATGTCGATCAAGTATATTTATGGAAACTTGAAAATCTTAAAAATTAAGAGTCCAAAAATGTATTACAAGACGCACTATTTCCAATTTGAGAGTTTATGTTCTATATAAACCATTCAATTTGACATCTAAAGAGTGAAAGTAATTGTGGTAATTGTGATTTTGTAATAAAAATAAATTGTCGCTTTGTAGTCAATCCCAATAAATAAACTCTGGAGACCAGGCTTTAGGCATAGGTGATTAGGATGATAGATGCTAGAATGTTAAGTTTGGAAATCCAATCTCACTAGGTCTCAAGTTATCAATAAACTACTTGTTTTGAACAGCTTTTGGGACCATGCATTTTGATGTTTTGCAAACCATCAGTAAATCTAGATTATTTTTTGAGCCACAAATGCATGGATCACGTCTACCATTCCAAATCCATAAAAAAAATTGAGGGTGAACCCATGTGCAGGAATACACAATAAACTTTTTCACTATTTTTACTTTTATCCGATCATCATCGTAACTTTTATCATATCATAACTATTTGGAGTCATCTACACAAAACCTGTATCGGCCATACCGGCCATTTCTACTCCCCTCCCATGATATGCCAAAATAAAGGTGTACAATAAAGGCCCACATACTAGTGAAGGCATTATATAATGAAAATTAATTTGTACTGCCTTCTAATTGTCTGGTCACAAGCAAGTGAATGAAGGCCCTTGATTTCTTCTAAGAAAATCATAGCGGTTCATTATCTCCCCTAAAATAATTTATCGTTGTATCTTTAAATACAACAAATCCAAAGCAGATTCCCCTACCTAAAAGTTTCATTATCCTACTCAAGATTCTTGCCAAAAAGAGTAGTATAATCTTCTTGTGCTAACTAAGATTTTAAAATGAATTTATGGCAAGAACCAATTCCCATTTGCTTTAGCCAAAAAGGGTACGGTTTTTATCGAGCCGAGGATGTAAACAATCAAATTCGAACCCACCTTTGAATAGTGGCAAGAAATGTTGTTTCAATACTGAAAATCTTTGACTAGCCTTAAAATTTATTTTTATCTTTAATTATAACATTTAAAACTTCAAAAATAGTGTAAATTGAACAGATCTATAAAAACTTTAATAATTTAAAAATCGATGACAAAAAAATACATATTTCCAAAACTTGAAATCCATTTTTTTCTCACATCCTTGATGTCGAGATGATCAATTTGAGGATGTTTGCGCATCAAAACAATCTCTAGTTAACTTTTTGAGGAAGCTCTAATTTGATTGTTTAGAGCCTAGGCTCTATATAAACTTTTTCCAAAAACAAATAAAAGATTATTTTTAAAGAAAGGTTTCTATACTACCCCTTCTGTATAGAAGATACATACTTCACTTTATCTAGCCGTTTAATTTAGATCAAGTGAACTATTGACTGATGGATCTAAATTTGACGCCTCATAATATTTTGTTTTTATTTTTTTACAAATAATATAAACATGAAATTTGATTCGTGCCATAACCTCAATGAGATGCACCTAAAAAAATTATTATTATTATTTTTTGATAAAATACAATAACCAAGATACTCAATAAGACTTTTAGAAGTATTTTGATCATTTTATTTTATTTATAGGTACGAGTATAAGAGAGGAGTGTACACCCAAAACTTGGTGTCAAAATGTTATAGAAATTTTTTTAAAAATAAAATAGTGTATGCGAGTCCATCCCAATCGCCGAGCTCAATAGGGAAAAGTATATAAGTTTCATTCAGTAAGGGAAGTTACATATGCCTAAAAATTGCATTAAGAATGAACACAAATAGTTTAATTTCTAGACGGTCAAATTTAAGAATTTAAAATCTATTCTTTCAGTAAAGGACCCGTTTACTATACGGCCAAGCCCGCATATGTAGAAATGTGGTCATCTTAATAAATCTTATTCTAGATGGATTTTTGGACTTAATTTTTAAAGGCATGTATCTCTAACATGGAGATCATGAATATGAAAAAATAAGTTTTAAAAACGAGAAATAATAATTATAGTAAAAAAAAAACATTTGCACTGTTCGTTTCCATTGTTTTTAGATGGAACGCCTACTTTTGCATCCATCTTTAAGATGGATGCTTTACACCTTTTGAATCGCATATGTAGTCATGCGATCCAACCCACATGAAACAATTTTCCTTTTAGTAAATACTTTGGATTCCTAAATTTCAAATTCAAAAATTTTCGCAAATCATTTTTGGAGTAAATATACAGTGCGCTCCCTCACGAATATGCCATACGTGCTCTTCAATTTATCAAAGATTGAGAAGCAGATCCGAATCCACATTCTTGAGAGAAACGGGGAGAGAAGATTCCAAGTGTATTTTGGCGTCTTGCCATAAAGTATAGCGCTCTCCCACATGTGCATACTGTGCACTTGATCCACTTTGTAATCACTGGAGTATTTTTGAAAGAAAAAAAAATGATCGGAGTTTTTAAAAACCCAACCTAACTATTTTAGAAAATGAGATTACCTAAAAAATGGTTTGATGGGGCCCCATCAAAATATTTAAAGCCTCACCTCCTAACTCATCTAAAATTATAATTCAAAAAACCTTTACATTGAAAACCTTTACATCCATCATCTTAACCTGAATATTATGATCATGAAAAAAATTAGGATTTCAAGCTCTAAGTATAATGTATATCATAACGAATTATGTATACCATCTATTTCGTTATGTTTTGAGTTTAAAATTTTATTATCAGTTAGAAATTAATTTTAGAGTCATCATGAAAATTTCCGTTGTCTTAAGTACTTTCCAAAAGATTTGAGGTGAGCCCTTATTTTGTTTTCATAAGCCTAGGCCTTAGAGAAATTTCATTCTTTAGGAAATACACCATATTTAAAGAGAATCTTGAATAATCAATATAGCAAGACATGTAGGTAGTCCAATTAACATGTAAAAACATACCAATATGTATAGGTTCTATACATGTAAAAACATAAGCATATGGAGAAATATGGGTAGCTTTCTATAGGTTCTATTATGTCCGGGAATTAACAACCATCAAATTTGGCAACAAGTCAACAATAATATCACACTATTACAACTTGACGAGACACTAGCGTATGGCATTTTGTTTTGAGAAAGAAAATAGCATATGACATTATTATCAGTTCACTGTCAATCGTTGATCAAAATTGGACATCTGATACCTCGATACAAGGGAAACCATAAAAAATGATTCCACACAAATACTCTTTTAAGCATACTGGAATAAGCAAATACATTCATTAATGGTAGTCTACAAATATAGCCATATACATGGGCATGCACATGCATATAAAACATCTCCATAACTGTTGCTACAATTCTTTCCATTCATTTGATTAAAGAACGACAGAGGGGCATCTTTATTGAGAAAAACCAACCAAGAAAGGGAATCACAAGGATAAGAACATTATTGGTTACTGCAAAATGTAAATTCTTGTGCTGACGTACATATCGTGTCACATGGATCCAGCACAGGCCTAATACTATATCATGGACCAGATTCACACCTAGACAATCTGGACCATCCATTCAAATGGATCAAAATATGAGCGCTCCATCTCAGTTGATGGAATCAGAGGGCCCCACAAAAGACCTTAATGTACCAGTTACAAGAAATTCCATGGCCAGGGGTTTCAATGATTAATGTTTTCATTACTAATGGTTTTTGACCCCACCTATAAACAAAACCTAGAGTTTGAGCCATTGGGTATCAAATAATATAAAAAAAACTTGGGCATTGGACCCTTCTATTTGGAAGTCCAGTTAGCCTGCAGGCCAACCAAATTATACTCACTGTTTCATAATAAAAGTAAATGTTTAAACTATGTTCAAATATAGTATTGATATAACTATGCATGTTATATACATTGACAAAGATATGAGGTCTGGATATAAATAGGTCTGTGATTTGAAAAATGACTAAAGACCCTTAAATTGACAGGGTCTATCTTCATCTTTTTTCAGGGGCAGATGAAGCCTAACAATCCCCAAAATCAGGTAAAAAGGGTCAGATTTCCCAAAATACGGAATGGTGTCTTTATGTTTTCTTGGAATGGGTGAACACAATTTTGTTATTTTATAAGAATTTGGGGTTTCATAATTTAAAGTGAGCTTTGTGCCAGCAATGAACAGAAGTTGTCACCCATGTTTTCATTTTAAGAAAAGAATAAAAAACTCACATATTAATATGTGGTTCTATCATGAAGATAATTCAGGCAGTCCCAAAAAAATTAATCTGAAGATGTCGGCATGCAGCTTGGTACTGATAGAATCAAGAAATGCTACGGACAAAATAAAAAAGAAGAAAAGGAATCCAACAAGAAGGAAACAAAATATGGAAACTTATGGAGCAAATAAAATATGCAGCACAACAGTTTCTCTTCTCTGGAATTCTAGGAAAAGTAACTTCTCAGGATATTTTAAGTTCTGATGGTTTTAACAGGAAAATTTCTTGAAAAATATAGGGAACAACTAAAAAAAGACAAAAAAAAAAAAAAAACTAACAAATATCGAAAAAATAGAACACAAAAAAGGAAGAATACTACTCCCTACATTTTATTTTTTAATTGAATCTTTTATAACCTTAAATTTGATTTAATCAACTCATATTAATCATAGACTCTGTACATCAAAGAACAATCTCATTTTTCATAAACTGCAAACTTTTAGAAAGAATGGAAGCATCTGTCACTACTAGATTCATGCAATACTGAAAGGAAGCAATATTTATTTAGAGTATGATAAAAGACAAGGTAGATTTCCCTTAAGGCACCTTACGAACTTTGCACAAATAAAAGTAGGGCACACAGGCAAGTCTAGAATACCGATGCTTTCAAGCCTACCATATAAAAGAAAGCATTATCAAAAATAAAATGCCTCTCAAAACACTAGCTGTGCCCAAAAAATTAAGTATTCCAACCCACAACTAGACAAAAATCATAGTAGTATCCAAAGAATTTCAAACTCTAGAATTGAATCTCATCTTAACAAATTTTTAACATTTTGATGCCTTGATTCTGGATATCCGAATATGCGCTCGAACAAGCACCCAACCAGGATGATCTCCAGGAGCCACAGCACCCTTCTCCAGTTTTTGCCTTGATCTACTACCTGCAAATGAATCCCCCTAAAGTGATCTTGGAGACCAAATACACCCAAGTAACCACAGTGACTTGAGTTCTCTGCATAGCTTTTTCATCGATCAAAATTAACACACATGGTCAAGTTGGTGTGAAGAAGTTGAAAATGAGCTAAAAGCATCCCCTCCTTTTTTCTCATCATCTAAGCTGTGAATTTGCAAAGTTTTCAAACCATCGATATCTCAAAATGTAAATTACCAGCTCTTTCGACAAGATGTTCTTTTCATGATTTTGAAACCATGATATTCCAGTTTTTCTGCTTCTGCATCTCAAGCTGACTGAAATATATTGCTTTAAAATGTTATGCATTAGTATTTTGATGCTTTTTTTCTTATGCATATAAGCTTCAAATATATACCAGCCAAGATTCTACCAAGCAAGCTCAACAGGTAGAATCCTGCTTCTTCCAGCAAAGCCACCAATGCTCAAAACCCACAAACCAAAATTTTAATTTATACCAAACAAGGATACAGCTACAGCTCCACAAGAAATATGGAAGAAGAGGCCCAAAGGGTGGTGATGATCCTGGATGCATCCAGAGAGGTGTGTTCGAGCGCATTGAGATGGGTCCTCCCCGGCTTATCCCTCAAAGCTGGGGATGAGCTGACTCTCCTCGGGGTTCTTCATCAGGTTAATACTCCTAGTACGTTTCCTTTCATGCGAGCTGGGAAACGATGTAAGAATGTCTTACTTTTACGCATCAATATTTGGGAAAGCAAAATCACATATTTATCTCCCTGGTATAAGATCTGCTAGATTCTCTCTGGAATTAATTTTGCTTCCCTAGAGAATTGCATTTTGGAATAAACCACAAATACATGCATAAAAATAAAAACAAACATACTCTTATGCTGATGTAAATATATATTACTATCTGCTAATCTCTATTATCTGGATGTTACCATTTCCAGATAGATGATCAACTAATGGAACAATGCCAATATACACAAAAATACAAGTATGGGTATATATAATAAGCCAACTATTGCTAATTGGTTGTTCTTTCTTAGTGGGATACAAGAGCAGAGTGGACTCGAATTCAATGCTTGCAGCAAATCAGAACATAATACAAGAAGAAGTAGCAAAGAAGAGGGAAGAATATAACAAAAACACGGAGCTCCAGCAGATACGGGGATTGTATGAAACACATCAGGTTGTACCAGAATCACATGAATAAATGTTTTGCAGTTCATTGACCAAAGAATGGGCTTTGAATTGGTTCATATCTACTACATTGGATTTCTAACTCGATTATCAGGATCACAGATTAGGTTTAGAGTTTTAGTGGAGCCTGGATCTTCTCCGAAAACTGTCGCATTGCATCACGCCAAGGAACTACAAGCCACATGGATAATTCTGGACAGGTAAGTTCAAGAACTGAGAGATTTTTAAAAATACCCCAAAGTTTTCAAGAAACTATCGAGAACCAGTATATAAGTTTACATTCTACAATAAGCAAGTTTGAAACGTAAATTCTACAAAATGGATGATGGCATCACTGTTGCAAGAAAATCGAGGAAGAAAATTAGAAACAGTAATATCTAAAAACATAGTTTGCAGTATAATAACTCCAACTCATGATAAAAGAGGAAAAAATAAATTGCCATATATGATAATGATCACTATTTTGGATCACTCAAAATTGAGGATGTTAGGGTCCTTCATAACACCATCAGACACAAGTACCCTTATGCACAATTTAGCACTGATTGGCTTGTTTGAAACAACGAGAGAAACATGAGATGGACTTTCTACAATAATTTTTTGGATAGAGAAGCTAAATCAAGGAAAATCAATTTTTATTTTTTCTAAAACAGGAACAACATATAAAGCTATAAAAAATAAGCTTATCTGAAAACACAAGAGAAAGATGACTTTCTAACAAAAATTATAGAGAGAGACAAGCTGAATCAAGGAGAAATCAAAACTTTAAAACGCGAGAAAAAAAAGTAAAGCTAACAAAAGAAGCACTTCATGGTCAAGTGAGACATTTAAGACAGAATGAAGTTACTACTAGTTTAAGGAAAATTTTCAACCACATGGGTTCAGCTTCAGCATAAACCACAAAACAAAGAAGTCAGACTTAGAATTCAGATGCACATGATAGTGATACTTGGCAAGACCTATGATCAAAGTAAAGCAAAGTAATAAGACCAAAAATCAATTTTGAAATACAAAACGGAGCTCTTGCAGTATTAATATCAATAGTATGCCATTTCATTAAAGCAATAAAGGGTATTCATAGATAGAGCATAATCATTATGAGTGGTTTACAGAATCCAGAGTCATCCAAAAATGAAGATTAATATACCATCTATGAACCATGTATCTGAAGTTTTGGTATTGCACAGTACTTTCAGTTGCAATGTCGTTTTGACAGTGTGAAAATTAAAAATAATGGTCCCTCGTTTATTGAAAGTCCATGTTATTTGAACAATAAATGAACATTGATACTGTTTTGTCAATCTTCATAAGTATAGTGATCTTCGAAGAACAAAAAAATCTTAGAAAATGCCAGGTTTGGAAAGGCAATTTGAAACTTTCATGATAAAGCGTTGCAGGCAGATGAAGAAAGATAGGAAATTCTTCATGGACAAACTTTCATGTGGAATCTCAAGGGTGAAGAGTAACAATAATGTTGAACAGTTGAGGGCACCAAAAGCACCAGAAAACACATCGCAGTCAGAAGAGAATTCAGTGAAGTATGGCGAAATGATTCCTGGAAGTGATGATGACGATGACTTTATCACTATGGATCTTTCTCGTAAGTCATCATTCCCATTACTTCCAATTCCAGGTTCCGTCTCATCTAGCAATATCACGATCTCAGATGCTCAGGTTTAAGTCTTTAAGGTATTCTAACACAGAAAAGTGTTTGTTCTGCTCCAGGATTAGAGAGCAGTTACAGGAATAACTATGGTAGTATTTCTTACCAGGAAGAACCTCAATTCGAAAGTGACAAAGAGCCCCCATGGCCTCTATTTAAAGAATGCCCTTCCCTATGTACACCCACAAGCAGTGAACCATTTTCTTCTTCAACCAATAGTGCGTCAATCCCTAGTCCAACAAGGGTGATCGCAGAGCTCATCCAACATTCACATGTTTCGCATTCTGAAGAACTATTGAAATGTTATCCTACTACTAATGCAGCAGAGAAAGTCTATATAGATTCCCAAAGAACAGATGAGCAAGGCCAAGTACTTGATGCCATCACAAAAACACAAGAGCCAACGATTCACAAGCAAGAAACAAAAAGCCCCAATTCAAGGGAAATGCAAAGTGATTTCCATCGGGCTGACCTGCTGATGCCTGAACTTCAAGATACATACTCTGAAGAGAGCCTTGAGTATAATAAATGTGAGAAATGTGACACTATGAGACCTAGGATGAGAAATAGAGAGTTCAAATTCTCTGAGCTACAAGTCGCCACAAACCAGTTTTCCAGAGATAATTATATATCTGAGGGGGGCTTTGGTGATGTTTATCAAGGTTATCTAGATGGGCAGCTGATTGCCGTTAAGCGATATAATCACGCAAGTTCACAGGGGGATAAGGAGTTTGATTCAGAGATACAGGTCCTTAAAAGGGCACGACACAGGAATGTTGTAATGCTGCTAGGTTCATGCTCCGAGGGGAGTCACAGATTGCTGGTTTATGAGTTTGTTTGCCATGGTTCACTGGACCAGCACCTCTCAAGTAAGGAATACTCTGTTTCCAGCTTTTAGTGCACATATGCATACATAGTCATTTCCCTACTGCAATCAGCGATGTATATTATAATACAAATAGACTATGGAAAAACATGGTACATTGGGTCTAAACAGCCAATGAAATGGCTGGTGGAGGGGGAGAGAAGACCCGCAAGAACAAGATATTACCCAAAAGGTAGATCTATTTACTCTCCATTGCCACCCATCATTTCATTGGATTTGACCCTTGAGGACTTTGGTTTTCCGTTGTCCATTTCATTATAGGAAGCGTTACCTTTGTAACCAAAGAATTGATGTGCCTTAAAATCTAATACAGGAGACAACCCCACACCTTTAGAGTGGAAAGACAGGATGAACATTGCGTTGGGGGCTGCCAGGGGTTTGCATTATCTGCACGAGAACAACATAGTTCACAGAGACATGAGGCCGAGCAACATCCTCATAACTCATGATTACGAACCAAGGGTAAGACTACAAATGCTCGAAGATGCACACAAATCTTTATCTAAAGCCATTGACAGTGCTCTGTTGATTGTTTCCCCATGTGTAATGGGCTGTTGATTTTTTTAAACTACGGCTTGTAACAGCTTGGGGATTTTGGACTCGCAAAAGCTCAACATGATGAATCAGAGTCCCTATCTGACACAAGGATTGTGGGGACATTTGGGTATATCGTGGATCTCTGAGAATGAAATACCTTTGAATCATTAGAATAAAATAAAAGCTCCCAACTTTGAAAGAGCCTAGTAACAGCACAAAGGATGGATTCAACAAATATAACTTATGTTTCTTATGCAGATACTTGGCACCAGAATATGTAGAAAGTGGGAAGGTTTCAACAAAGACAGATGTTTATTCCTTTGGTGTTGTTCTTCTAGAGCTCATCACGGGCCGCAAGAATATAGATAGAACTCGCCCTCCTGAGGAGATGAGTCTTTTGGCATGGGTAGCTATTGAGACAACTCCTTTTCAAATATTAAAAACCAGGACATCAAAATCCCTATCAAGTTACATAAACAAATCATTAGATAGAAAGTTGCATGGATATATGAAATAGGTAGCTCCTATCTAATCTGGATCTGTTACAGGCCAGACCGCTATTAAAGGAGAGGAAATACGACCGCTTGATTGATGACACAATTTTGGATTCATATGATCTCCACCAACTCTTCTGGATGGTGACTGTAGCTGACCGTTGCCTTGCAAAGGATCCAAATAAGAGGCCATTTATGAATGAGGTCAGTCTAATATAATCATTTTTCTTTTCACATGAAGCAGCAGCTACCCATATGCATAATTAATCATGGAACCAAGTAAGAACCATCATCACTTGAAACTGGAGAAAAACCCATGTGAAAAATCTTAGAGATATAGAGTTGATCAGAATACCAAGTTCACAAAGAGAACTTGTCCAGAACAAAGGAAACTCAAAGAAAATTGTATATTTTTAAGATAATTTCACAGATTGAATATTATGCAACAAATTTACAATAACTGATAAAAGAAATCATTCTAAATCACAAGATAATCATAGTCATAATGAACTTTAAAATTTTTCATGGAAGACATATAGTCAGATGCAAATATTGCATAAAAAGCATACAACCAGGACAAATATGTGAATTGGTCCATTAGAAACAGAACTGCAATGAATATAAAGGCAACAAATATGAAGGTTATCACATTGCCAGCTTAGACTTTAATTTTCTGTGCATCTGAATACAAACTGTTCTGTCATTGCTGGTCGATTAGAACAGAACTACAATGGATTTAAAGGCATCCAATATGAAGGTGGTCACATTGCCAGCTTAGATTTTAATTTTCTGTGCATCTGAATACAAACTGTTCTGTCATTGCTGGAATTCAGGTGGTGCACATATTGCAACGCATAACAGGAGGAGAATCAGTTAGTGATATAGAAGATGAGTTTCCTGCCGGCTCTGATTGTAGCACCCCAGATTCCATTGAATCACATGGTGATGGTGAAAGGACAACAACGGGAAACATTACTATGCCTGATTATATTGAATCAAATGGTAATGTATAAAGCGATGAACAGGATATCAAGGCAGGCCCACTAAATTATATAGAGATGATAAAACAATTCGAACCATAGAAGTAAGAACACAGTAGAAAACTTCCACCAAGTCACTAAGAGATCCCAGAAGTGAGGTCACCTTTTCCTCAAGAAGAGATCCCAGAGCTGTGTAGAATTTTTTTCTCTTAGCCTTGAGCGCCAATCCTTTCTCGAAGTTACAGATCCAATGTGCGAACTTCCCATGCCTTACATTGTTCCATCACACAGGCTCGCCACCATGGAGAAACCCCTGCCCCCCCAAAAAAAAAAGTCATTTGGCTCCCCCTCCATTATGGAAGTGTGAGAATACACAGCATCCCATACTATGAGTGCAACAAAATGCATGGCATACAGAGAGGCAGCACCATTTATCAGAGGTGTAGCACTGTAGTGTGGTTGGTTTATCATTTTCATGACAGTTACCACTTTTCCGAAGTGGAATACTTTATTATATTAATTTCAAATGAAAATATCTCACAAATACTAGTAACATAAAATGCAAAATGAAGAGCAACCTGTAATAGTAGCATTTATTGCTAGATAACAGAATGCATTTGCTTTTTTTCTTTTTTTTTATATAAACCAGTGGTGCGGTACCACTGAGCACACAAAACCTTAGCAACAGCCTATCATCATACACCCATTCAAGAGTGATACGCATCCCAGTTCGGTCAACCACTATTCCATGGAAGTGTATCTTCTATAATCCCACAGAATCCTAAAACACTGCTGAAACGTCTGTAAAGATACAAAATAAGAAAACCTGCTTATCCTTGCAACCTAAAAGAGGGGACTTCTTTAATATGACTATGACTGGTTAAGAGTTAGGAACAGTTTTTCAGGATATCTCATAAATGTAAGTATGGATATATCTTTGATGTGACCATTAGCATGTCCAAACAGGGCCCAAATCCGTTAGAATAAAATGTTTGAGAATATAAATAATAATTTATGGCTTTGATTCAGTAGGGTTGACATACCATTAAACATTCGTTCCTAAGATAAAGATGTTTGGGCTCAGCATGCTTAAAGTGCATTGACAACAAATAATTACCCTGATTCCCCACTTAGCAAAAATTTATCATTAATCACTTAGCATTCATGTATTCTACATCATACTGGCGTAAAACTCCCTTTTCTCTAAGAGAGGAAGTACGAAAACTACTACAATGGTGGCTTCTCTTCAGTAGCACTATTTATTTATCCCCCACAAGTAGAGGAATACTATTATGGTTAAGTAGAGCAATGCAAATACTACGAAGTAAAAATGACAACACAACCAGACCAAGTCTCTGTCATTTCTTATCTACATTACACTGTATTATTCACTATCATTTTCTTTATAAATAATGATTTCACTCCTTTATCAATGATAATTTTACTAAAAAATATCACTGATGTAAGAAAGAAGAACACAGTGAACTGTATTGACGGAAACTCGAAAAAATACTAGATTCTGATTGAATGAAAACTACCCATAGTTCAAGATTATTTAACATCCAATTTGAAGCTCTACAATAACCATAGCAGCAATTGCAATATTTAACAGGGAGATTCCCCAAAAAACAATCCATAAAAACAAGGACCGGATCATTTTAGAAGAAAAATGTAACAGCGAATACTTGCAGGAACCAAGAAAACACTGTTTAAATATTCATAGCATCCAAAATCACCTTCCAATATCAGCAAACAAACAAGAGAACTATATATAGGACACGTAACAGAGGAAAGACTAGTTGAATGTATCGACATATTCCCAAGGTCCAAGATTATGCATGGACTTCCTTTCTCGGTGATCAGAAATCCAAGGTTAAGTCCCAAGTTCCAGTGAATTATGGGATCCACATCCACTGTAATGAACCAAAGGTCAAAAAACTTTCTTGTGGGGAATCCCAGATTCAGAGACTATACAGGTTCCAGTGAATTATGGGATCCACATCCACTGTAATGAACCAAAGGTCAAAAAACTTTCTTGTGGGGAATCCCAGATTCAGAGACTATAAATCTCAGGGAATTCCTGAAGTATATCATGCAATACAAACTTTCATAGTACAGTTTAATGATTATGTTATCCACATCCACTGTAACATCAAATCTATGGTGTTCAAATATATTGCCGTATCCTTGGACTTTTTTGTGTATGAACTCACAAAGCTTCAGATTTTATCAGATACGCTAGAGATAATGCCCAGTGGACTGTTTAAAACATAGGGATTTTCTCATGTTTCAAATATGCCAAGGGCCTCATATTACATTTTGTGCAGGACAAAACCAAATGCAAAACTACTTGCTTTCCAGGACTCAGCACAACAATAGATCGACACGAAGCATACAATGCCCTTCCACAAAATGTGCTTTCCCATAAGATTTTCCTCCCAATCCTTAAGCACTTCATAATTTCATAAGCAACAGGCATATCCAGCTTAATTAGAGGGAATGTGATCGAAAGATGAGTGGGTATGTGCAACACCAGCCACTGCTCCAGCACTGCATCAAAAGCATGGAAATCAATTTCTCGTCTATGAAACTTGGAACGGCACCTGGATAAGGACCACAGAGAACATAATAACTTCTTACCACAGATAGAAGTGGCCCTTGCTTGAACTTGTTGTGAAATGAAAAAGCAAGAGGCCGCGGTCTTTCACCTGGCCCTCGAATAAACCCACTTGATTTAATCAAGGGAAAGAAAATGGTTAGAGAAGATTTGACTATCATTTTTACTCAAACCTATGGAGTGATGCAAAGATCAGAAAACAAAGGTAAAATAAAATTACATGAGTGAAGCTGAAACAAGTGGTGTCCTCCTTATGTCATATACTGCAATGAGGCCAGCATACATCTTATCTGCATCTTTATATGACACAGCAAGTCTCTCTCCTGAAGTATCCCACGCTATCATCTCAACGCTGGTACTGCATATGGTAAAATAAATTAGTAAAACAGCAAGGTTATCACGAAACTGGAAACTATCCTAATAATCCAAAAGCCTAGGGGATCTTCTTCACCTGCCAGTAACTGACACTATCTCTGGCAGATCCACAGGCAATAGATGTGCATCTGAAAAATAGCCATCAAAGGGCAACAAGAACATACACAATAAGTAAAAGCAGATGAATTCATCCATAAAAACTCAAAAGTCCCTCTACAAACTTGTAAACCTTCCAAATCCCGTACATAAGAAAGCAAAGGAAAACATTGATAAGCCTCCTTTGAGAGTGTAAGGCAATGTCAAAAGGTTAGAGAAGTAGTATCCAAATAGATTGATTTGACGAGGTGTACCAAGGCACTTGTTAACCCCCCTTCTTAGCATCATGCAAGTGGCTTAAGCAAGGGGTGTGGAACCTCCTCGAAGATAGGAACAAATTACAAAGGACTCACTAGTCATGTACAGATTTATGCTACTTTAGAGGGATTTAGCGCTCTCCTAGCAGACCATTTCTTTAGACCAATAAATTATGCCCTTACTTGTTGGATTTTGAAGCCTTTAAAGGCCTAGAGAGCATATAAAAATGATAATTTATAATAGAATATACACTTCAATGGGAGTATGTGTGTTGACTGACTAAGGGTTGGGCGGTTTATAGCCCTAGTTATGTCTAAAACCCTTACCCCTAGACATGTGGCACTACCGAGAAAGGTTTACAAAGGATCATCCCTTGTTGAGGTCAGAGAGATGCCCAGGGATGATGTTTGTAGGCCAAGAGAACTGTGTGGTCCCCTATGTGCAATTGTAGGCTTGTGAGAGCAAAAGGCCAAAGCCTCAACAAACTTCTGCACGGCATGTACACATGATAGCCGCATTACTAGGAAGCAGCCTTATAGAGGACATGTACATGTGCATAAAGAGATCTCCTTTTACACTGTGGTGACAAGTGTTAGACTTGCTCTTAAAGGGGGGGGAGCTGAAATCTATATTCCAGGATCATAGTCCCACTGCTTATTGTCCAATTTTGACAAGCCAATCACTAGCCCATGCATTGAGACTATGGGTCATAGGTCCTCGTTGGGTTGGATAAGAAAGAAGTAATGGATCATAGTTCTTGGGTCAAATGGAGTGCCCTTATTGTCGTTTATTTTGACCCATTGGTACCAATCAACTTCTAAATTATTTTATTTTGATATTCAAAATATTTTTATGATTTTATAAAATTTTTTAAAATTTTAACATTTATTTCTGCTGTAAATTTCATTGTTGGCGCCACCATGTGTTGGGCCCACGTGATACCCTACGGTGACACGCCTCATTTTTTTAAAATATGCCATCTTTTAGTTGGTTTAAAAAGATTTGATTCCTATTCAAATGGGAATTTTAAAATAACAGATTATCTTTGACTTCCTATAGATTTGGGAAGATCTATATAATACTAAAAGTGGTCAAAAATCAAATTTAAATGGAAGTTGGACTTATAAAAGGATAAGGTTCCTATTTCCACCTAAAATCATGATGTCTAATTTGTGGCATGGATGACTCATATTGAACCTCTCACAACCCACAGATTTCCTAAATATCCTAATGGTATAGTTGGAACATAAAGATAAGGCATATTAGAAATCCTAGTCAAAGTGGGACGGATTTATTTTTATTTAAACAAGAGTTTTCTCTCCCCTCCATGCACCAAATCTCTCTCACCATTAAATTTCATTTTCTCACCCCTCCCTTCTAAAAAGGGTCATACAACTCAAAATTCGATAAGACAAGGGTGCCACATCGAAACCCTAATTAGAGTTTTCCTTTTTGGAAAAGAAAAAGAGATATAACCAGCCATAACAGGATTCTATGCCTGCAAGCCCAGTCCTAATTTGTTCCTAAGGGTTCCTACAAAACCTAGTTAGGTTTCCACCCTAGAGAAAGAGGTACCGCATATGAAAGCTTCCCATGTTAGGGATTCAATCCCAGCCGTAATTTGTTCCCAAGGGTTCCTACAAAACCTAGTTAAGTTTCCACCATAGAGAAAGAGGTACTGCCTGTGGGAGCTTCCCACGTCTGAACTTCCAGTAAGATCAAGACGGACAAAAGTGTGCCGTCGGTTAGGAAATTGGGTGTGGGGTATATCAAAACCTATGAGGGTAACTCCAGTCATCTTCTAATAAGTCTTCCCAATAGATTTAATTAACTTCCAGTCATATTTCATATTTTTCTGTGAATTTCCAGAAACATATATTGTACTAAAAAACTGTAGCGGAAGATTGTTCATAGCTCCTGGATGTTTTTTATTTGCTTTGGCAGTAAAAGTCAAGACCCTAGGTTGTATATCGGATATTCATTTTGATTTACAACAGTATTTAGTAGCCCATGTAAGTGAAATTCAGTTATATTAAATTAAAAAAAATTAAATTTAATAGCTTGATATCTACATAGACACAACTTTCATTGGTAAACCTTACAAAGAACTCAGGCTTGTGCAATGCGGGGGGGGGGGGTATTAGGCTCAAGTAGGCACACTCATGTGGTCTAGAGGCCAAGACCCTTAGTGCAAGGTGGTCTAGAGGCCAAGACCCTTAGTGCAAGACCTTGGTCAGGATGATAAGAACTAATGGCTAAGATGGACATAATGGACCACTAGGACTAATGGGCTAAGGCCTAGTTGACTCAGGCAGTACAAATTGACAAGACATGGTCATATAACCCATGTGGAAGTGGTATGGCTGTCATAGACCTAGCCAGGCTGAACAGGTGAGTCGATCAATAACCCTCAAATGGGGGATACGTATTGTGCAATTGTCCCAAACATGGACTTGGACATCCATACGCCATATGAGCGAAGGTGAGTGCAAATGTAATGGGACATGTGTGGCCATTAATAGCTATGTAATGCACATGCATATTAGAATTGACATGGATAATGCAATAATGACACATGGAGTGGGTGAACCAAACCATTAACCTCCTTAAGTGCACTATTATGAACAAGCCATTGAGGGTAGAATGTGAGCTTCTAACTTCCACACCAAGTGGTGAGCAGCAATGCTCCTTAGAAACCCTGTTTTTGGCTTGGTGTCTCATGCCAACACAGGTATCTATCGACAACTAGATACATGTCAACACGTACAGACACTCCACGAAACTTGACCAACATGTCTGATGACATCGCTACTTTTTAAGTACATGTTGATACATTTCATAGAAGTGTCTTGGAAATTTCTAATACAAATGCCAAGACTTACATGGTCGAGCGAACAATTTAGCAACTCAGCATCAAGGGCTCGAATCCTAGCAATAAACCCTTTGCCCTTTTTTTTTAATAAAAAAAAAGCTGACCTACATTTGTATTACTGTAACAAAGTCTTTTTTTTTTAATTATTAATGTAAAAGCAATGTTTTAAAATGCGAAATGCGGTCCCAATGCGGTCGGGGGGCGATGCGACTCGATGCGAGTGCATCACCCCAATGCGATTAATAAATATAAAAAAATCTAGAAAATCTAAAAAAATAGGTTAGTGTATGGAAAAAAAATATGAAGGTGATTTATGTGATAGTAGGTATTTAATTTATTCATGAACTCCAAAGTATCAGTTGTCGGAGATTATGTACCCACTATCCCCTGATGGATCATAGAAGACATTCGAAAGTAAAAACTAGAAACTTGAAACTAACTTCATAGAAAACAATAGAACTTAGAAGACATCATATTTTTATAATTCATAAACATTCAAAAACCATATCACAAATTCGCAACTGCAAACTTTGAAGTTACAAACTAAAGATCTATGAAGATTGAAGAGTTCAAAAGTTGAGACAAATCATCATCATTTCTCAAGTCTCAAATCTAAATCTCAAATCTTTATTAGACAAGTTATCTAGAGATTCAGTTCAAAAGTCAATACAAATCATCATTTCTCAAGTCTCAAGTCTAAATATCAAATCTTTATTAGACAAGTTATCTAGAGAGTCTCCATGTGCAGCATCATCATCAATATCATCCTCGACGGCCTCCACATATTCTTCATCTTCCTCGGTTTCCTCGAAGTCGGCCTCATCCTCCTCCTCGACCTCTGGAACTTAAATGAGACTGAACCGAGCTTTCACTCTTTTGTGTTCTAGTGTTAGGCCGTACTTCTTCATTAGCCCTTGCAGCTAGCTCAACATCAAAACATTTTCCACCATTCTTTTTTTTTTAATTGATTTGATGAAGAAAAAGCCACGAAAGTGGTTGTTTTTTATGTTTCAGCCCCCCCCCCCCCCCAAAAAAAAAAAGAAAAATCCTTTCCCCCCTATTGGGGGAAAACTTACCTAAATACCCGTTTTTAGGGTTTTTGTTTTCGTCACGCTGATGCAGTGCGATGCGCTATGCGGCTGCATATGCAGTGGGATGCGGCGTATATGCGTGCGCATCCCACCAAAGTGCATATGCGTTGTTTTGCGATTGCGCCTCCTAGCACATATCGCATGCTGCAGCCGCATATATGGCGATGCAGCTGCATTTTAAAATAATGCGTAGAAGTATAACAAGCTCGCCTTTTTTGAGCTTTTTTATTGCAAAAATATAACACTGATCAACCAAAGCCATGATTTGAACTGAAGACAACTTGCGTATAAAGCATAAGCTCCCACTCCACGACTTTAACATCGTTCTACAAGGGCATTATATGATATATAATATTGCTTCTTATCAAAAAATTAAAAGAAGTTTACAAAGCAATGGTATGATACTATGAACTCTCTGTACCTTTAGCTTCAGAGTGAATATGGAGATATTATATCATACATAACGTAACCTATCTTATTCAAATTAAAACGACTTGTGGGTGGGTTTGAACATGCACCCTCTTGTACAATGGCATCTTAACATGGGCCCAACTCTATTGCTATGTCATTTTAACATACATGGAAATCAATAGGAAATTATTATTGTGCAAACATGTCAGGAAGTACTGACTTTTTGGCCTCACTTACTAGACACCCCGACAAGTACTAACTCCCAACATGCATATCAATATCCATGCAACACTGGTCGGCACTTATGGTGGTGCAAGAAATGGGCAAGTTTGTGGCTCCTTATTAGGGGCTATATAAACCCTTGCCCAGACCCTTGAGAGCATCCTTGCTATACACAAGCAAGTGTATAGTATAATAAAGGTGGCTTAAAGCCCTTCATATACTTTGTGAGTACCTTTCTCTGCTCTCCCCATTCCTATAATATTTGCAAGGCCAGCCTTGCCTTAGTCCAGGTTTAACTTTGGCTTGGTGCCGCACAGTTTGACAATAGTACAAATTAGCCATCATGTCAATTGGAATGAGAGTGTGGTTCGATGAACATGACTAGTGGTGTCTTCGGTGAGATCTAAGTACATGTCACGCAACTTGAGGAGCAATTGGAGCAACTCATGACACAAGGAGTTCAAGACAGTAGGCTAGGGTAGAACATCACTGCCTTGGAGGTTCGATTGGAGTCTTGGAGGCAAATGTAGAGAAGAGATGTGGTGCCTGCGTCGCTGTATGAGAGGGCTCCAAGATGACCTCATGGCTTTCACAAAGACATTCAAGGGAAGTGTTCATGCCACACAAGAACACGCAACCCTTGTCAAGAGGGCCTTTTGTAACACCATAGGTGGGGTGGACTCTTGAAGTGTCAAGGACATACGATTCTAGATCTAGGGTGTTCGAGGTTGTCCTATGGGACATGGAGCTATATTTTGAGGCTGTCCGTGCCCATGAGGAAAACCATGCTGGCAAATGCATCATGCACCTCATGGGATGTTCTGAAAAGCTGGAGGCGGATGCAGATCAAGGATACTTCAAGGCCCAAGGTGAGCACTTGAGAGGCCTTGACACAAGATTAGCAGGATCAATTACTATACAAGCACATAACATATGCACTCACCCTCTCTCACTGTCTCACATGGCCAATAGCAGCCACAGAAGCGCATTTCTTCAATGCCCATGCATGTTTGAATCAACATGCCTGGTGCAATAAGGGAAGCCATTGGTGGGGGGTGGTCCTGGACCATTAAAGGGATCCGTATTTGCATATGAGCGAGTGTATAGTTAAATAAAGGAAATGTGACACAGGGCCCCTTTCTATACTTTGCATGTGCCTTGGGTACTTCTGTCTTGTCTTGCTCTAATCCTTATGTGTGCTTGTAGAAGGTTGGCTTTGCCTTAAACCAGGTTTGGCTTTGGCTTGGTGCCTTATGTTTTGGCTGTAGTAGAAACTAGACCCCCATGACAGCAGCCATGCAAAGAAATTAGAGCATGGTAGGAGCATAAATGTCATTTTTAGGAAGGATCTTATTCTCGGGTGTTCTTTGTTTCCAGTTCTTCTCCGATGGAAGTTTATTCGCTACTTAAGAACTCAAGGCAGGAAGGATAGCAAAAATAATGGAATAATTATTTCACAACCAAATTTGCAAAGAAAGCTGAAATTCTGGTGATGGAATCATTAAACCACGAGAGGAGACAGTTAGGATAATTACACCAATGCATTACATGCAATAAGAAAACTATTACCCAATGACGGAGGTTTTGATGCAAAGTGAATTGAACCAAGTGTCGTGGAATCTGAGAATGCGACCAGTATCATCCGGCCATCCGGATCCCATGATGAATCCTATTAAGAGTTCAAAACACAAAGTAAATAGGATGCATGAATTTTGCATGGAGTGTTTGTTCAGTGAGTAAAAACAATAACATATGGGTTCACAGCAAAAAGGTAAATTTTCATTGTATCATCTACAGTGAAATGCCCACTATACCACCTACTGTGCCTCTAAAGCAAAGGGAAATCACATCTTATATGGAAAAAATATGCAATGCAAATATCACGGACGCTAGAATGAGGAATTCATGCAGTGTGCAAAGAATGAAACGTTTCACAAATAGCAGCTGTGTAGTACACATTACTTGCAACAATGTGTCATAAACCAAAATTGCACTAGCATATACTTGATTTTCATTAGCAGAGCATCTATATGTATTGAAACGCCCGCGCACCTCGTGCTCACGCACGCACATATAGTCTTACACAGACACCTTGACTTTTGCATTGTGTTGTGTGCAAATAGTGTCAACAATCAGACATGTGACGACACAACTCGACACTGGTCTCATCTGCAAGCAGGCCAGACATGTCATCCATGTCAGGCTGCTGACAAGACATGAACAATTCCTGTCAGACATGTCTAACAATTAGGTGCACAGATTCCTTTGTTTTGTTTGTGTTATTTTAGGTCACAATATAAAAGTGTTGTCTGCAGAAGACTTGAACCCATAACCTTTCATCTTTTGAGTAAAGAATTAACCAATATGCCTCGAGTTCTGTGTCACTCAACTTCCATAAAATTGTTATTGGTATTATTAAAATAAGAATTATCTTGAAAGATCAAAAATAAAACAACAAATAAATTTTTTTTCTTTTTTTATCATGAAAAATGCTTGTACATATGTCTTGGGCCATAATAGCTTTTTGGACAAAATAACTAGACACCTAAGGCACATACTAGATATTGACATCCATGTCAGTGTCCATAAAATACATAAGCACGAATGCACACACAGCTATGTATATATGTACATAGGGAAGGATGTCTTGCAAGGAAACAAGTTGTGCACTTCAAAAATTCTTGGGGATTATGAAAACACCTGCAACCAACTATAGGATCGTTTTTCAGTACATGTACTATATTGTAGGATCATATGTGTAGAGGAGCAACAAGTGCACGCAGCGAAACACGTCTTCACCAATTGAACACGCTTGCAGAATTACGCAGACGACCAAACTTACAATAACAAAACTTCCAGAAGATGACCAAGGTTCTGACGTCCATGTGTTTGTCTCCCAAAGATAAAATGTTCCATCACTACAAAAAGGCAAGAGTTAGAGAGATCAGTCAACAGGAAATGGGCACATAAAAGCCACCTGCACTTGAAAATGAATGAAAAAACATCCACTATTGGCTCCAAAACATACAATTTTGTGGTGAAAAAATAGTCCCCCGTCGGTGACCACTTCAATAATGATATACCACCCAAACCTCGCCTGATTGGTGTTCCAGTCCCTATAGGTGTAAAAGAGAACATATATTTCACAATGGGTAACAACTTGACCTTGCAAAGTATTCTACATGAATAGAAGAAACATCATGAAAAACACAAATATAGTGAACTTACATTCATCTATAAGCCTTCAATAATAAAACAAAACAGAAAAAGAAATACAGAATCTCAACTTCAAAGAATATTATGTGATCTCTTTAACCAAATTCTAAACTATTTAGACATAAATTAAACAACAAGATGATGTTTTCGTCACCTTTGCATTAAGAGTTAAAACACTGAATGAACAAGAATACCAAGGTAGTGCAATGCAATTCGGTAGAATGGATGAAGTGGCAATCTTGATTCTGGTAAACGGCGAGATAAAGTGAAGGTGTAATTGGAGGTTCACTTTCTTTTTTGAGAAAAGATGACTAGAATTGTATTACTGAGTAATTAAAATGTACACAAAATGGGACCCTCTTAGAGGGGACCCTATACATCCTCAAAGGGTATAAAAAAGGTGCAAAAGCAAAATTACAACTCCAAGGAGGGATGTGGCAGGTCTAACAAAATCTAAAGCCCCCCCCCCCCCTGGGAAATTAGAGTAGGCTCCCTCTTTAGCAAGATAAAAGGAATGTACTGTGCAAGGGGCAGGACATGAGGTCTCAACCTCTTGTAAGGTGCCTTGGCAATTTACCAGTACGATACTTGCATATTTGGAGGTTCACATTCTTATTGTCTCAGCATATTATATTTGACCTGTTTTCTGGGCAGTTGATCTTTCTAACTTTGAGTAGGATTGGATAAAATTTAGTATTGGGATCATAAAGAGTTCCAACAGCTTGCTCAATTAGATGCCTTACCTATAGCTGGAAACTAATATGTACCAAGATAGTAAGAACATTAAGATCACGCAATAGAAAGTGGCCCGGGACCCCACAAACACCTCAACAAGCAAACAAGTCCTCGTTTGCCATTTGCCAAACCTATTCGTATGTTCAGTGGTTTGGGGATGCTTACTCAGTTTTCTAAACTCCGCAATTGCATCAAATATGATGCCACAGTGTGCCAAATAAATGTACCAACACATAAACTTAAGTAATCCAGTTGTCCATGGTTCAGACAATCAAATGGTCAAGGATATATGGATAGACATATATTGATACAGCCTAATGGGTGCAGAGCTATTTATCTGACCCCCATAGATGACAAGTGTGCAACTCCTGATTACACGCTGTAACACAGACAAGCATACATGATTCACTATGGGCAATAGCCTTCACAAATTATAATAACTACTGCAGATTAACAGGTAATTTGATTGATGGTCCGGTTAAAAATATTGGAATTTATCCAGAAAACTAAGTAGTAAGAATGGTATAGTTAGGTGTATTTATTAAAAGATGCCATGAAAGAAGCAACATTACCTTGAGCAACATCCCAAATGATGAAGGAGGAGCTCTCACTTGATGCAGAAGCTAGAAGTGTAATCGTATGTCAAGGATGACAATAAGCACTAAAAAGGTAGCCATATACAATAAGAAAAAACCAACTGATATATTTCTAAAATGATTGATAGGTAATGATAAAAGAGTGCCCATACATTGGCTGCACAATGTAACGATAACCCTGGTGTTTTTCACTTCCGACAAAAAACTTCAACAAACAATATGTATCATAAATGAAAACTTTGAACATGTAGTAAACCACCCGTCATGCCACGTAAATTCCATAGACCCCCAAACCCTCCTAGATGATTCCTAGATATACCATACTATCCATGAAGAGTTTGTGTACATTGGCATTAGCCTACACTAAAGTTACTTCTTATGGGAATTTCATCATTAGCTTTCATCATTAGCATGAAGAAAATCAAATTACAGAAACTAACAAAATAAAAGGCTCAGAGAAGCATACAATTTTCAAGGATATCTTCCATTTGGACTCCAAGATAATGCAGTAACCTGTTCACCACCAGGGCTCTTGAGGAAGTCTACCAATGCCCATCTGATTCCAGAGCCTCTAGCAGGATTTCCTAAGAAAGAGGCAACTCCAGATCTTAGAGGAGCTACATTGCCCGGGTAAGAGGCTGACCAAATGCATATTCCTCCCCTGAAAAGAAAATCCTAAATCAACAAGTGATGAAAGAGATTGACAATCACAGTACTACAAGTGCTATAGAATAGAATTTGTTAATACATATGATGCATGTACAACTGATGGTGAGATCATGTCATGTTTCTTACTTGCACGCTACAGAAAGTGTTTTGCCACCATTAGGCCGCCACTCAATTGCCCTGACCCCCCTTTGTGTTTCACTGGTCAATATAGATGGTTCCCTGCTCTCTGATCAAATGAAATAGTGCTTTCAAGTAGTTCCCATGAACATAATAAGTTTTTTTTTTTATTAGGATACAAGTTAAGGAACATGTCTTAAATCAGAAATGGAGACCACTCTAAACCAGAAAGCCCATATTGCTCACAAGAAAGCAATTAGGAGTATAAGCCCATATTGTTCACAAGAAAGCAATTAGGAGTATAATACCAACCTGAATTTTCAAAATCACGTACAGACACTTGATTTGGCCCAGATATATATGCTAAAATATGATTATGCTGGTTCCAACTAACACCTTGAAGGAAGACTTTCGATAAGAAATGTACCTAAACAAGACAAAAAAGAGGAAAACAGAAATTCATTTCTCAAACCAATTAGTTACTTATAGATGAATTTCCTTTCTACAAGCATACAGGCCTTCATGCCCAAGATATGTAAAAGGCAAACAAAAAAATAAATAAATCTAGTACTTTCTCTTTTGTTACTGGTAAGTAATAATTCTTAAAAAAATGTAAAGAGTGCATATAGCATAGAGGTGTCTCTACAGCAGCGAGCAATCCCATGTCCCCAGCTGTTCCCAATAGCACCCATTTAGTCGTCTTATGCCCTATTTGGCTGTAAATAAAAATTCAATTTTTTAAAAATATGGATAGCCATCTGCAAGATCTTCACAAATTGCATCAAAATCTATAGTGGTTGAGGGTAGTTTGGATGCCACTTTTCCCAATGGTGAGCCCTCGGTAGATTTATAAAACTTACTAAAAATCTTATCCAGCAAACCTCCTCTTTACTCTCAAGCCTCTCTGCCTCTCTACCACAGCAACCATCACTACTCTCTCTAACTTGTGTTTCTCTTTCTAAATGCCCCCCTCCCTCTCTAAACCATTATTATCATTGTCAAAGCCTTTCCCCAACTAAATGGGATCAGCTATACAAATCCCGATCCGCCTTTCTGCTCTATCAAGGACTATACCTTCAGTGAGGCCATAAGTCCCCATATTTTTTCTTGTTACATCCAACTATGTCCTTTTGGGTCTACTCCTGGCCTTTTTTTAGCCTTCCACTTGAACTAACTTGCACCTCCTAACAAGTCTTGTATTGGGTCTGTGCTGCACATGGCCAGTCCACCTAAGTCTACTTTCTCTCATCTTATTAAGTTCTCCCGTATGTAGTCATTTTGAATTCTATCCCTTCTTGTCTTGTCACTCGTCCATTTCAACATCCCCATCTCAGCTACACTCGTGCTATTAATATGTTGTTTTTTGACCTCCCAATATTCCACCCCATAAAACAAAGCCGGTCTCATAGCTATCTTATAGAACTTGCCCTTCAGCTTCATTGGTACACGGCGATCAAATAAAACTCCGGTTGCACATCTTCACTTCGTCCACCCAGCTCTAATTCTATGTGCACATCTTCCCCAATCTCTCCATTTTCCTGGATTATCAACCAAAAATATCGAAATTGCACCTTTTTTTATATTTTTTGACCATCAATTTTAACTAATTCCTCATCTCTACTTCTATTATTAGTAAACTTGCATTCCATATACTATGTCTTAGTCAGACTAATTTTAAAATTCTTAAATCCTAGAGCATCCCTTCAAAGTTCTAACGTTGTGTTGATGTTGCGTCGGGTCTCATTGATCAAAACTATGTCATCCACGAATAACATACACCACAGTACCTCATCTTGTAAGTGCAAGTTAAATCGCCCATAACGAAGAAAACGAGGTATGGGCTCAATGCTGACTCCTAATGTAGAACTATTGTCACCGAAAACTCACTTACCTCTCCGCTAGTTGTTCGTACACTAGTTATCGTTCCCTTGTACATATCCTTCACCAAGTCGATGTAGTGGCTTGAGGCTCCTTTCTTTTTCAACACCCACCATATCAAATCTCTAGGTACTCTATCATAAGCTTTCTCTAGACTAATAAAAACCATGTGGAGGTCCTTTCCCTTTGCCCTAAACTTCTCAATCAGTTGCTTAAGTAGGAAAATAGCCTCAGTTGTTGACCTCCTTGGCATAAAACCGAATTCGTTTTCTCATACACTCGTTTCATGCTTTAGAGGTTACTCAATCACTCTCTCCCACAGCTTCATAGTGTGGCTCATAAGTTTAATCCCTTGATAGTTCACACCAGTGGTTTAAAAAACGGATCAATGCCCCGGATCGGATATCCCAAAAGCCCATCCGGAATCGGCTGAATCAATCAGATTAAGCATTAAAAAAAATCCAAAAAAATTATTAAAATTCATTATAAATGTTGTTTTTTAGGAATCCAATAAGAAATCAGGGTACTCCATTATTCATTTTCATTTTTTTCATCAATATGCGAATATTGAGAAGTTCTTTCCCTGTATGAATTTATTTTAACCATTAAATTTACATCACACAAAAGAAAAATCATAGAATTATCATGGATGAAGTATATAGTCATACATGGACTACAATAAAGAATGGTTTAAATCGATGAAAAATGGCCACAAAAATCTTGAATTGTCAGAGAACCCTAAACCGTTTAAAAAAAAAAAAAAAACCCAAATTATTACAACCTAACTATATCCAAAATTATTACAACCTAACTATAATATTATATACTGAAATTGAAATTGTTGGTTTACATTTTATAATTATTTTATTATACAAATAATAAAAAATCCAACCTTTTATTTTTTTTGACAATAAATACTTGTTGTATTACCTTTGATCTTTTTTTGACAAAAATCTTTTATTTTTTTTAACAATAACCTTTTATTTATTTATTTTTAGAAGAAATGCTTGTCGTATTACCTTATTTATTAATTTATTTTAACAAGAACCTTTTTTTTAAAAAAGAAATACTTGTTGTATTACCTTCTTTTTTTTTTTTTTGACAAGAACCTTATATTTTTTTTACAATAATCTTTTGTTTTTTTAACAAGAAAAAAAAAACGTTGTATTACCTTTTTTTTTTTTTTGACAATAACCTTATATGTTTTTTTTACAATAAACTTTTATACTTTTATTTTTTGACAAGAAAAAGAAATTTTGTTGTATTACTTTTTTTTTTTTTTTATAAGAACCATATACTTTTTTTACAAAAAACTATAATTTTTTTGAGGAAGGATGTGAAACCTGTCAAGAGTTGAACTTACGACGTCCAAGTGAGAAAAGGGCGTGCTAGCCACCACACCATAGTTTGAATTGTGTTACTATTCGCCCGACTTAAAGATAATATTATATTAGTATTTCAGCTATTACCTTTTATCACAATAATCCCACATCAGACAGACGGAAGAAAATTGATGGGAATAAATACCACTTTGTTACCAACTCTTACGCGTGTGAAACACATGAATTAGCGTGGGGCTTGTGGTTAAGGACACGTGGCCTGGAGGTTGTTGGACACCTATAACCCATTTTAACCCAAAACATTACAAAAATGCCATGTACGATTCATGATGTCATGCAGCGGGATTCATGACTTCATGCACTGAGTTACTGTACAGAATCACCGATTCTTCTCTATAACCGGGCAATTCTCCATTTTACATAGGTATCAATACGTGATTACCGATTTTCGAGTCGAATAGGCCGATTCCGTGCCGATTCGGCGACTTTTAACCACTGGTTTACACAATTATCCTGGATTCATGACAATTTTTGCCAAAGTTTTACATTGGCTACCTTCCTAATATAGCCGACCCTTTTTACCCGAGCTTGTGACGGGTTAAGGGAAATTTTAAGGTTCTCACCCTTCTTAGAACACCCCTCTCTCTCTAAACCATGGAATCGAGAATGGTTTTCTTCAAGCAGCTTTGGGTGTATAACTCTTGCCTTTGCACCGGAATTATTCTTCTTTATCTCAAGCTTTTCATCTCGGCCCCATTTGTACTCTGTCTAGCTCCAGCTGCTTAGGCTTAGTTGTTTGCTCCCATTTTCTTTGGCATTTTTGTGATAGAATGATTGTTGTGAGCTTTCTTGCTTAACTTCAAGGTTTCCTCAAGGTTTCTCGAGGAAGGAATGCAAGGAAAAAACCTTAAATTTCCTGAGAGCTTATAAATAGTATGGAGCCGTTGCAAAAAGTGTGAAGAACTGTTGTTCAAGGCCTTCAAAATTGTAACCCATTATAATTGTGGGAGAAAAGGGAAGAATATACAAATAATTGTTGTTCAATACCCTAGGAGTTGTTCAATGAAAACCGCCAGGTTTTTTTGAGAGAATTTCTAGATTTCAATGCCACCACAATGAAAATCTCTTTATTGTTTTTATTAGAGAGAGATAAGACTGGTTTATGATATAGAAATTGAAGCTTTCCCTCCACATTGAAAATCGTACAATACCATAACCTTGAGATTGGACCAGTTTAAGAATATTTCAAGGAAGCCTGATTTCAGTCTTCCTGCCATCAAGCTTAGGCTTTTCAGATATTGCTTTAAGCAAAGGAAGAACGAATCCTGCCTATTGAAAGTTCTTCATTGCCACCCAAGAGGATGGAGAGCAAGAAGCATGGCTATGCCCTACGGTGGTGGTGGCAGTTGGACATGGCAGCAGAAATAGTGGGAAAGAACAAGGATGGTGGTGGTAGCGGCAGCAGAGATGGCAAAGAAAGAATGGTGGCGGCCCCAGTTGCAGAAATTAAGAGAGAGAGTGTGTCGTTTGTGGTTGTGTGTGCCTAAGGCCCCAACTCAGTTGAGAGCATCATTCGTGGATGGAGAAAAAAAGAGGGTAAGACCTCTTAAATTCCCTTTGTGGTTTGCGGTCTAATCTGCAAATGGAAGACCACTCAACTTGGGCATCCACACGAAACAAAACCTAAACAGATTTGTTTGATAAGGGTTTTCTTTTTTTTTTTTTTTTTGTGATATCAATATTCAAGAAGGCGTAGGCGGCCGCCTAGGCGGTGAGAGCTCTGGGCCACCTAGGCGCTAAGGCGGGGGCCTAGACTCAAAGGCAGCCAGTGTTTTTTTTAAGTTGGTTCCCCCACACCTCCCCCCATTTTATTGTATATAAAATTGTATGTTTTTTTATTTAATAAGTAAGTTTTGTATATAATCTATTGTTAAGATGCCGGAAGCACAGATCAAACATAAACACTTACAACTTTAGATTGTAAATGAAATAATTATAACTCAAAAGCAACATTAAATGATAAAATCAACTCAAGATGTCCTTTGAATCTCGCAAATCACAAGTCACTCACAAGTCACAAAAGTTTCGAAAGTCATTAGAAAAAAGTCATATCCGTTCTAAAAGTCACATCCAACTAACAAAGACAAAAAAAAAAGGTTTATGAACCATACAAGTAAATGGAAAAACAATAATCTACATAGACAATAACATATCAAATATATATCACAAAGTATCAAAAAAAAAAAATAGCAAGTAATAACATCATTAGACATTAAGGGGAAAAAATACAAGAACTAATGAAAACTATTGAAATATACCAACCTTCTTGAAGTGGACTCGATTCAAGCCAACCAAACTGTTTGGGATCCCAAATCTCGTCTTTTACAACCCCTATAAGCCTCAAAAATATTGATGATGAATATCCTTTTATATCATGACCATTTGAGGATTTTCGAAAAAAAATTCGATCTCTCAAAAAATCTTCAAATCTATTTTTTTTCAAGTTGTTTCTCACTCTAAAGTTCACTAAAATTGTTTGAGGGCAAGAGCTTTTAAGGGATTAAAATAACATTTTTTGCCCTCTCCCCAAAAAAAATTTCCGCCAAGGTCGAGGCAGCACCTAGGCTCCCCCTTTTTACACAGCCTAGGCAGGCACCTAGCTTTTTCCACCTAATACTATCCGCCTTGACCATGCCTAGGCGTTTTAATGGTCAAGGCGATTTTTAAAACAGTCTGTCTAAGAGGTCGGGCGCACAACTTTTCGTTCATTGTGTGATATACAAAACCAAAACAATTTTTTAAAAAATTATTGTAAACAAAGTCATCACCAAATGCTCCCAAACCATGGTCTCTTGTGGCATCCAAACATGCCCTCATCTATCACCTCATTAGCTTTACAAGTCTGTCTCCATGCACTTGTAGAAACTCTTGGGATCACCAAATAGGGTTGAAGGAATCACCTTCTAGTTATCAGCTCTCAAGCAAGCTTCACGTATAATGTACATAAACTTAAGATGGAGAATGGAGATACAATAAAGCAGCCCGACATCAATGAAATAGGTAAAATTAGCTTCACATATAATGTACATAAACTTAAGATGGAGAATGGAGATATAATAAAGCAGCCCGACATCAATGCAATAGGTAAAATTAGGTTTACCTCTCTTGGAAGCAAATGCTATCACAATGGATCAACATGATAGAGTTATGCAATTTGAGCAATTCACAAAGCACACCGATATTCCCCATAAAAAATATATCCCAGAAAAGCCAATACTAGAAGTTCAAATAAAAAAGATGAGAAACTAATCCAGTTTCTTTGGACCTAACTAAGCTCCATGTTGAAACATACACAATGCATAATTTATTATAGGGAAAATATCTCCGTACCCCCAATTGTTATGTTTCATATCTCAATAGACCCAAGGTTTCAAAATATATCTTGAGCTATAAAAATCCGAGGTTTTATTTCTAACCCCTTGAACTAAATCTTCCCACTTTAATCCTATTTTTTAGCCCAAACTAATCTGAGAATGACAACTTTTGCTAAACCCTTTCACTCACGCTCTCTCTCTCTTCCCGTCTTTCCCCAAACCTCCCTCTCTCTCTCCCCAATTGGGTTGGGCATTTCTCTCTCTAAAAATGGCCCACCCCATTAACCTGGTTTGATCCCAAAAAGCCCATTTTCTAAGAGGCTCTAATTCTAGAAAAATAGAGGTGAAAATCGTGGAGGGGGAGCCCAAAGACCCAGCATGTCCTTTAATGGTGGATTTTGGCCAGGTAACCAATAGATCAGTAAGTGATGAGAGAGATATAGTGCAAAGTTTGACGGGGAGGATGAAGCTTTTGGCTCCCCGGTTGGAGGAGGTTGCGGAAATGGAGAGGCCATTACCAGAGGAGGTCATTGCCAGTATCTACAAGTTCAAGAAGGTGTTCATGTTGGCGAAGAAGTTGAGGATGGGAGCAACATTTATCTGGTAAGGGTTCTAATGGTTGTGCATAGCAGTGTTGAGAACATGGTCTCTTTCTTCGTAGCAGCATTGAGAACATGATCTCTCTCCCCCTCTTTCTCTTATGCTGTATATGAGAGGGTTTTGGGCATGGTAGAAGTTCGGATCGAACTGTGTATGGTGTGGGAATGAAGAGAGACCATTGACCTGATTTATAAAGAGTTTTAACCTTTTATAGGAACTTCACATTTGGTAAGATGGAGAATTAGCCATTTAATAGGAGTAACAACAGAAAATCTAAGTCTTTCACGTAAAGCTGGAAATGATATGGGAAACAACAAAGCCTATTCACCAGCACAGAGAAAGAGAAAGAGTTGCCATCTCTTTTCCTGGCATGCTGTGAATTTGGTTTGTTCTTTTGATAAGAATACTTAAATTCTATGAATTAATGGTAAAGCAAAGAAAATAAAATTGAAATTATCTTTGAGTTTTGGGGAAACACAGTATACAGAGAGAGAGGGGTTTGGGGAAACACAAAGCGGAGAGAGAGCGTGAGAGACACGGGAAAGGAAGAGAGAGAAGGGGTTTGAGGAGTCACAAGGGAGAGAGAGAAAGAGAGAGTGGATGGGTTTAAAAAAAGTTGTCTTTCTAATATTTGTTTGGGCTAAAACACTAGGATTAAAGTGGTGGGTAAAATTAATTGGGGGGTTAGAAGATATAAAACTTAGGATTTCTATGGCCCAAGATATGTTTTGAAACCTTGGGTGTAATGAGATATGAAACCTAAAAATTGGGGGTACGGAGATATTTTCCCCTTATTATACTCATTCCATTTCATTCCAATACATCTCCACAATTCACAATTCATAAATGTTTGATAAATGTGATTTCTAGAACACTTAAACAAAATGTAGTAGCATGCTATAGTTGAGGTTTGCCATAAGAACTCACATTCTTTGGAGAAAAGCCACGCTCAAAGAAGTTATTGAATACCCTTTGCAAATATTGAAGACCTCTTGAAACAAAAGGAGATTCTGATGCAATGCGAACTCCATCACCACTTTCATCTTCCAACTCTTTCTCAAAATTAGGTAACAATGTGTCCGACTGGAAAGGAATCGGATCAAACACAAGTCCCTGTAAAATGATGCTAAGTTCCATTAAGAGATCTTCTAAAAATTTCCTAAGTTAATAAATCCCATACACACATTAATAATTACATTATGTGCAAAGGCATAGTAATGTCCGAACAGAGAATCAGCACAAAAAACATGATTTTGGATGATCCCCAGAAGGAAAGAAAAACCACTCACATAAATCACACACCTATAACAGTTCATCTTTCAAATAAAAAGGAAACCTTCCCTCACTAAGCATATGACAACCAAGGGCATTGCAAGAAAAAGGTGTGTGTGTGTGTGAATGTTTTGTTCTTTTTTTATATATATGGTGGGGGGGGGGGGTTGGTGGGGGGGTGTGGAGGTGGTTGGAGGCAGAGAGAGAGTTGACAACACAAAAGTTATTGAATGCTAGTGAATAACCACTTATATACACCAGTCCACAAAAAATAACATCGAATCAATTGCATATTAACTGCTCTGTTCAATGTAAACCATTGAAAATAGACCTAAAATAGTTTTTCACGAAAAGAAAAGTGAGATAAAAACACCTAACATAGTGATATATCTGGAAGATTTTACACCATGCAGTCATTCACATTAAAAGGAAGTCTCAAAATAGAGACTAACAGACATATACTACAGATCTGAAGGTCAATGAAGCCCTTGAACATTTACACAGAGAACTGAGATTCCAAATAAGCATACATGTTTGCACAAACTTGAATGACAAATGGGATGATGAAGTAAAAACCATATAAGCAGCAGTAAGACCAACAACAACAACAACAATGCGGTATTTAGGAACAGTGACTGAAAATCTGCAGTCCAACTTGGGACTCGCTGGAGCTGGACCCAATCAGGAACCAGGCAATTCCATGCCAAATAACCCAGAATGACCAGAGCCTCCCTTTCCTTGAATTTTCTTTGTTAAAGTTAAATCTTCACAGTCTCACTGACACTCACCCAAGTCAGCCTTTTTAAGCATTCTTATAACTGATCACAAAGCTCAAGCAACTCAAAGAAAAATACAACAAAACCCAACAATAATAATAAGTTAATGTTAAACACCGATGGCAGTTCTTTAGAAATGGGATCCAGTGAATCTAAAGAAAAATAAATTGAAGAGTTGGTAGAGGTTTGATTGCTTACGAGCACTTTCCCATAGACCTCGTAAGATCTAGTATCTGTGTAGCTTTCAGTAGTAACTGCAAAATTGAAAGAGCATCATTAACCCCTAAGAAACCCTAAAGTACTCACAAAACCCTAAAATGTAGAAACATTGACATGAATTTGAAGAGTGAATGAGTACCGAGAGCACGATTGATTTCACATAATGTAATAGACCCAGGTGGAGGGAAACAAGCCATCTCTTCGAGCTCCTGAATTCTACATTATTTAAATGGGTGTAATGCATATTAAATAAATTGCAGAAAGATAGAGAAATACCAGGAAAAATAACAAAACCAGAATTAACAAAAAATGGGAAGTATCGATATCAAACTAGAACAAATACCAGGAAAAAATTGCACAACGATTTCTGGAGAAGGGGAAAATAAATAAATAAGCACTATTCATTCTAGGGATTAAAGCTTGATATTAGAAGTGGATATCATGGAAATAAATATAAAATATCAAAACAAAGACAATGGAAACAGAGGATAAATGGAAACCTATATATTCCGGAAAAACCTTAAAAACGCCTACAGGCTAAATGCTACAGCGTTTTGCAAATGCTACAGTGTTTTGCCCTTTGCTATCCGTTGCGGTTCCACGTGATTTTTTTGACCGTCACGAACCTTGAACACAGGCGGCCGGATTTTTTCAGACGGTGATGAGCGTATGGGCAAAACAGTATTCATTCGTCCATGGGTCTTACGTAGTGTCTTCCATATATTCCATCATAGGACTTCAAAAAATTCATATATGACAAATGAATATCATATAAGAAAAAACAATAATCAGAAAAAGTAATTTCTCAGAAGAGATGCAAAAAAAATCAGAAAAATACTGATTCAATAATCTCTCCATGGCTTCGATAATATTACATTTTAGGGCTTGAGATTATCTCATAAAATGCTTAAAATTCTTGTATGTTATAATTGATACCGATAATGGAGCTTAATTTAAAGAATTGCAGAGTTGCAGGGCTTTCTTACTTGAGAGAAGAAGAAAAAGGGTTTCAGAGAGAGTGAAGAGTTTTAGAGCGAGAAACTCCCGCCTTAAGTATTTTCTGAAATCTGAATCCCCACACGCCCATTTTATAATAAACAAATGACGAGACGATCCTCAACTTTTAGGGCCTGTTTGGATAGTTGGTTTTTACAAGGCCTGGTTTTATAGAACACAGGTTTAGGTTTGTTGTGGTAGCTTTGGGCGCTTCTTTTTCCTTTTCCGGAACCCCGAAAAGGGGCTCAATTTTTTAGAAAATCATATAAATATCTCTTTAATTTATTGTTATTAGGGCTGAGAATTGGGGTTCGAATCAAATCTAGAATATTTGGATTTGGATCCAGATCTAAACCTATATATATATATATAAGATCTGGATCCAGATTAGTTCTAATTTTGTATACTACAAAGTCAAAATATAATTATAAAAAATAAAATTATTATTATTATTATATATATATATATGGAAAAGTCTTCTCAACGCCTATAGATGAACTTTGGACAGTGATGACGGTAGCGCAACACCTATGCATGAAAATGAACAGTGATTTCGTCTATCCTTATCATTGTCCAAAGTTTATCGCATGATCATGTTTTGTCCGGTAGTGTTTCATTTTTCATTTTTTTCTACAAATCGAAATGATCTAAAATTTTGAGTGTGTATACATCTTAGTGAGACGCACCTAATAAAAATATAAAAGTAATAATTCGAGAAAATAAATTGACCAAAATACCCCCGAAACTTTTCGAGGGTATTTTGGTTAATGTTTTTCATATAAAAAGTTTTTTTGATATTTTTATTAAATTCGACTAGTTTTGATGAACATATGCTCCAAATTTTAGGTCATTCTAATTTGTAAAAAAAAAAAATGAAAAATAAAACACTACCGGACAATCGTAACCGTACAATGAACTTTCGATGGTGACGAGGGTAGGCGAAATCACTGTTTATTTTCGCCTATAGGTATCTTCCTATATATATATATATATATATATATACTGTAAATGATAATAAAATGCTAGTGTGATTTCCTGGAAAAATTCCATGCAATTTAAAATTCTATTTAATATTAAAATAGGTATTATTAGTTATGCTCAGTGGATTGTAATTGACATCTCGATAATTCCTTTCATAGGAATCATATTATTCTGTTTAAATTACTACAGAATTTC